ACAGTAGACTGTATCGTATTACGAAGAAATTACAACGCAATGATTTCTTGTGTTTTTCCGTCAATAGTGTATATGCGTTGTTTCTAAGTCAGTAAGCAGTGTCGTGGTTCATAGTTGGGCGGTATTTTACGAACGAAAGACCATTTATTAGTTTATAGAGGAGCATCAGGTTGTTTTTCAGGCGACGGCGCCATAGAGGTTCTATGGAAAGATGCTTGCATCTTCCTGTGTAGTCGAGGTTATGGCTCAATCCGAGCAGTCACCGGGTGAAGCTTCTTTGTACATTTTCTACTCGCATTTTGTCCATGATATTCATGTTTGAAATATGAGTGAACAATATTCAAGTGTGGGCCTTATACAGATTTTGAGGAGAGTAAGCTAAGCCTCACTAGTCAAGAAGTTTTTGTTTATAAACCCAATTAGTCGTCTAGATTTAGAGATAATATTTGAGGCATGTTCTTCGAATTTTAGGCTTTTAGAGTAACTAATACCAAGGTCACGGGCTGATATAAGTGTCTGAACCCTACATTTTTGTAAGTAGAGTGGTGTATCATGGTGACGCTTGCTAAAATGCATTATGCCACATTTGTTGTGATTAAACGGCAGTTGCCATGTCTGGCTCCAGGTAGTTAAGTTATCGAGATCACTCTGAATCGCCTTCTCAACTTCATAAAGGTTCGGAGGGCTTGCGTCTACTTATCATTCAGAAAGACGAGGAACTTATGCAACGGACATGTGGCTGAAGGCCAGTTAAACTTAACCTTTAAAGTTTCCTGCCGATCAATACCATCTCCTGGATTGAAAACGAGCGGTAATCTCATCCTTTTCCGAGATAGATTTACTCACATTCGGATTCTTAATTCCGGTTTCCTAGACATAGTCGAAACTTTAAAATTTATGGATTGCAGTATCGAAAATTCATTCCACAGCCTCTCACTTATCGCCTATCGTTCCTACACTTCCCTTATGCCTGTCACTTGAGGTGCTTTAAACTATTACGGGTTCACCTTAGTCGATAAACGAGAACGAGACAGTGAGCCAGTGACACAGTGGGCTACTCTGAGCCGCTGCTCTTAACTAACTGAAGGAGAAGTCTTCATATGGAGTAAAAAGTATATGCTACAAATACCCAGCAAATACAATGATCTCAAGCACACAAATCACGTTTATTTATACATCACAGAAACGTCCTTGGGAGTGTCACAAAGTAGCACACTAAAATAACATATAAACCAATCACAGCTTGTGATTTTCCTGGTGGGAAATTCGGTCCCATGGTCAACCTATCAGCACATGAATAAAATCGAAAATAAATACACTCCTGCCCTTTTTATTAGCATCCGCTTCTGGGGTCGACTTGCATTTTGACTGTTGTTCGTCACTGTCTGACAGGATACCTTTTGGAATGGAGATCAGCTTGTGGATGATTTTCTTTCGATGGTTGGGTAGCTAGCAAGTTGCAAGTATCAAGCAGGATATCAATGGAAAGATTTTCTCTTGTTGACTGACGACCAGGGGCTTTCAATGCCCATGATTTATTTTTTATTCACAGGCAAACACTAGACCTCCCAGTTCATACGTCGGTTTCTTTGAGGATTTTTTCTGTACTGGCGTTAATGCGTCACTGGGATGCATCAGACAGGATTTATGCTGGAGACTTATGCTCCGGTAATGGCTCATTCGGTGTTGTTCGATAGACATACAAGAAATTTTGTAATGCGTCAGCTGGTATCCCCTTCCATTTTGACTTGACTAATGCTTTTCTAAACGTATCCACAAAACTTTCTGCTTGCTCATTTGACTGCAGGTAATATGGTGGTGAGAGTAGGTGCTTGAATGCTAGCTGTTGACGGAAGTTTTGGAATTCGTTGACGGTAACTTGCAAACCGTTATCGCATACACTTACATCAGGTATGCGATTTCGGAAGAAAATTTCAGAGAGTAGCCGTATCGTTTCAGTTGTCGTTGACGGAATTACAAGGCTGTTTTCTGGCCCTCTTGAAAGGGCGTCGACCACAACTAGACACTGTTCCATCAATCGAGTACGCGAAGTGTCCTGGACCAAAATGATCAGGTTGTAGCCATGAAGCTGGCGGAACCTCAGCATTCACGTTTGCCGCTTGCTGACACCGCATGCATTTCCCAATCAACTCTGTTATAAGTTAATCCATTAGAGGCTAGTATGCGTGACACCTGGATATGAATTTCATTCGTTCAACCCCCGGATGACCGACGTTGAAGTGTTTCAGCACTTTAGTGCCAATCGATTCTGATACAGCTACTCTTTCTCCAAACATCAAGTAGTCGTTTATGATGTACACTGCGTCCTGCCGCTGATACAGCTGTTTCATGTTACCATCAAACTTCTTTGACGGCCAAACTTTGGCGATCTAGTTCGTCGTAATCTTGATGATGGGATCGTTCCTAGAAGAGTTTTATATGTCTGCTGCAGACACCGACAGTGCCATTATTGCTCTTATCAGGCAGTATTCCGCGTGGTCTTCCGCTGACAAACATGTGGTTACCATGTTTTCCTCTGTCGCCAAATGATCGTTAATCAGTCTTGATAAAGCATCTGCTCTCCGATTGCACAGAAGCTTGTTGAAACGGCGAACAGCAAACACAAGGGCAAAAGCCTCCTGTTGGGGTTAATGTGCGCAATTCATGCATGATGGCTTTTTCTGACGCGTCTGGAAACTGGCGTAAAATAAATGCACCTCAAACTTACTCTGTTGAGTCTGCAGCTAGGATGATGGTCGTGAAACGATCGTAATATGTTGGCAACATTTCCGAGCCCATCGTGGACTGGGGTTTAAAAACTGCCGCACCACAATCTTTAGTGCAGTTCCAAGTGCTGTTCTTCTGCTGTAGACAGTCCAATGGAGCGCGAATATCACGGGTTGAAGGAACAAAGTCTGAATAATAGCTGTCAAGTATTAGGAAGGAACGTGTTACCGAGACATTAGTGGATATGGGCATTAGTTTGTTAGCTTGGATGTTCCCAGAATCCCGTCTGAGGCAGTCGACATCAAAGGTGAACCTCAAATGCTATACCGACTGAAGTAAAAACTAGCATCTCTCTGGGCGTAGCCGAAACCTCTTGTCACTGATGCGTGGCGATACCAATACCATGCTTCCTTTTAGCTGTACTAATGTTAAGTGGTCCAAATTATTTGCAATCAGGGAGTTTGAATTTTAAGTGTGCTTAGTTTGATGAAGTCAGTAAAAATTATCATCCATATCATCAGCTTTATTATTACTAGATTGATATTATTTTGAGTTTGACCTATTTTCTGCGTATCAATAATTATAATTTAATTCTTGGTTATAACTGTGGTAATCTTTGGGCCCAAGGTAATCGGACAATTTCCTATCCTTCCTTATTCTTTTCATATTACGTTAATTTTCTCTCTCCTTTACTTACAAGTATCAATTTACGTCTATTTGTACTTCTGTTTAATTGTATTTTGTATTTTGTTTAATTAACCTTTTATTAATCTTCATATAACATGCCTTGACAAGTATATGTGAAACATATAACATGACCACAAACTAGGGTGTTTTGTTCTCAAACGACCGAATGTCTAAGAACACACCAATATAAAGATGTCTGAAACCCATAATTCCAGCTTTCATTCCAGTTAAATAAGATTCCTGCAAGTACAGGGGATTACTGAAACCTGATGCCAGCTGATGGCCTTGCTAAATATTCGATCTACTCCTAGTTTAGTATTAATGAAAATCTCAAATCCCTGACCCGTGTAATGTCATTAGGATGTGACAATATTCTGCCTAAAGTGTTGAAACAATGAGCAGAAGCCGACATTTCAACAATATCTGACATGTTCAAGAATTCCATGGAGTCATCTAATAGCTGAATGTAAAAGAGCTTTTCTTTCTTTCTGAAACTCAGCGATGTCGATAGAGTAGACAGTCTGCTTCTGACTAGTCGCATTTCCACCTACACTATCGTATATGATGGAAAAGCCTTCACATAAGCCCGAACTATATACGGGACGCAACCAAGGCTAATGCAACTCTTCACTTTGTGAGAAGACAACTTGATACTACCACACCACAATTAATCTTAACTTTCTTTACGACATACGTGCGCCCACAATTAGAGGTTCACAACGTCATAGCACCATCTCTTCTTCAAAAAGACAGAAATCTCTTGGATCGAGTGCACAGACAAGCAACGAAATGCGTGATAGTGTTGAAGAACAAACCTTACGCAGATCGACTTCAGCATGTGGGATTATTCTTCCTGAGTCACAGGAGGATCAGGGGTGATCTCATTATGGCCGACAACATATTAGGCACGCTGAACCGTCCCAACAAGAGCATCACCACCACTTCACTCGAGGCAATGCACGAAGGATTACACATCAAAGAGCAAATACTCCTGTTCGTGCACACTTCTTCTCACTGAGAGTCGTCGCAACTTGGAATGGTCTCCCAAACGGGGTGACTCCAGCCTGTTCAGTAGACAGCTTTTAGAAGACACTTGATAATCACCTACTCACATACGGATTATGATGAAACTCGTCGACAAGCTGTGACGGACGCTTGTCTCTAGACTAACAGTTGTTATCATTGCTATTTCTTCAGATCACTTACTTAATCTATCTCACCTATTATCTCTGTTTGCTCTCCTTTGCTTACACTTCGGTCATCTCTCAAAATCTTCACAACCAATTAATAAACTAAATCACTTATATATTACTTAGTTCTGAAATTTTATTCATACTAGCATTAGAATTTTATCCTTTTTATCCTCATTACTCTCCACATTGGAACTGTCTGATATCCAGTCTGGTAATGTGATGGCTGCTGGTATCCAGAAACCCTGCTGCCCTGAAACACGTTTTCATTCAAATCCCGAGACATACAAACTCACGACAACTGCCAACTGATTAGAATCAGGCAGTCGACTGGCTGGATTACTATTCATTCAAAACTGGTAAATACCTAAACAAGAAGTAAACGCAAAGAAATCGATTGGCTTATACTAGCTCAAGGAAAAATATTGGATATTGTATGACCTTGATTCTTTCCATGTTTATAAAAGGTGTGGGAGGTTTTCACGCATACTTGGACGCCATGAAGATTAGTTGCGGATACAAGCGTTTGCAGGTTTTGTTAGTCATATTTAACTGTGGAGCCTTCGTTAGTTCTCCTCCAAATTGCTAACAAGCATTTAGATATGTGGTCTCGGGCTCACTATTTTTGGCGCTATTCGATTACATCCTTTTTTCAAACAATTAAATGACATCAACCTTCCACTTCAATCAATCATCATCCTCATCATGACCGTTGGATGCTTCTTCCTTATTTTAGGGGCTTTAGGAATTATTGGTGCATTCAAGATGGATGTTCGCTTATTGAATGTGGTAGGAATATATATACACAATTATGAAATCCTTGTAGCACTGTGTACTTTTGTTAATTTTAATCATCTTCGAAATAGCCGTAGTAATATTTGCGTTCACAGAAAGGTCCAAAGTAAGGTTTAGTTTGCAGACGCAATTGTTATAGTTCACAGAATACGTTACTGATGAATTAACAGAATTCGTCAAAGTGTACAACGAAGACGAGCATGTTAAAAATACTCTTGATTCAATTCAAAAAACAGTGAGTTTAATTAATTGTTATCCAGACTTTACAGCTAAAATGTTGTGGTGCTACATCTCCTGCAGATTATGGAGATTCGTCACCCAAATCGTGCTACGATAATGACCTACAATTCACAATGGTTAGTTTTCATGTAAATTTTGTCTGAGAGTCTGAGATTTATACATTTTATTTGCTCGAGCTTAATTTATGATATTAGTGAACCAATTTAAGATACTTAACAAAACCAAGTAATAAGTATTCTCACCAAAAATAACGTCAAACAAACATAAAAATATTCATGTTAAAAGTGCAGAAGCGGAAACACAGAAACGCCTGTGAATCGAATTGTTCACTGGCGATAATTTTGAAATATGTCAGTACTTTTATTTCCTCAAAGTCACTTCCAACTTTATTTCAACAGGGAAACACTTGATTATATTGAGAACGTATTACAACCAACAGGTGTGTAACCAAAACTTGAAGGACAATAAGTCCGACGGAAAACATGAAGGAAACCTACTCCAACCGATACTTTTAATTTTCTGGTTAAAAGGTGATGCGATATATTCACTCCTTTCAAGAATAATAACATTCTCTTCTCGCCAAGTCAATTAAACCTAGATACACGAAATACGTTTGCAGCATATTTAAAAAAATTTCACCTATACACAGAACCGTGTAGTTAACGGGAACACGATCATCTCTGCGTGTTTGAACTCACCTTATCATTTGACTTGTTTTGGGTTAGTTGGTTGAGAAAAAGCCTCAATATACGTTCAAACTAAGAAAGTTGCTTACACATAGTTGGGGGAAGTAGTAGAGTTATGATGGCTAACATTAGGCGTACCAGTCTTTAAACTGCCATAGGAGAACAAAATCCATCTTCAATAGAGAAGTTTTCAAAATTTTTAGGGCTTGCTTCTCCGCGATTCTCTATTTCTCTGTAGATGAAGGTGAGTGTGTAATTTTAATGCTTCCGTAATGTGCTTTTTAAAATCCGTGTTTGTTTGAAATCTGTGCTTGAAACTAAATGATGGTGAGCTGTGCTTTTAAAATCACACTTACGTAGGATTCGTAAACCACTACGACTTGAAACAAGTTGGATAGGTTTATTTGTAGTTTTGTAATTATCACTACCTGGAATGACAAGAACGTAACCGGATTGATCAGCTTTTGACATGTGTCTCTGCTTACGAAAGTAGTGTTTAGATTACATCACATCAATCTTTTATGAAAGTTATTCTTTACACGCTCGCCTTTTTAAGGTCATCTGTATGAAAAAGTAGAAGAGTTTTCAGTCTTACACCACAGCCTGCAAAACGAGAATAAACGTAATCAAGATTTTGTGCTTAAAAATATACCGATGCGTGTCATATTCAAAGATCAGACTTTATAACTGACCCATATTTTACTTTATTGTCAGATAAGCAGCAGGTCTGGTGTAGTGCCTAAATTTTTGAACTTATGCCCAGAGTAGAGAAAGTTTCTGGAAGACGCGATTATGTTAATATTGGTGAATTCAGTTGGCCCAGCTTGTAAATTGAAATAAAGCCAACATCAAAATTGAGATTGAATAATATGCATTCAGTATATTTCGTATCTCTCCACAAACTGCCTACATACGTCTCGTTGTCATGAAAACTTGTTCAACTATTGCAAGTTTCTCCTAGTTTGCTGCCCAATACCCACTTTGTAAGAACTTCATTACGATACTTCGGCAACTGGCTAACAGGCTGAAGTTACTTATTTGACCATCGCCTGAGATGATCTATTTAAGAAAAAGACAGTAAATGACCATAGACATTATTTTATCCTCTCCTACCATAATTAACAACTCCGCCAGTAGAACCTTCGGGGCTATTGCCGGTCCCAAGCCCGGATAAAGGAGGAGGGTTAGGCATGGGGTTGGCCACCCCATTCCGTCAAAAAACTAACTTGACAAAAAACAATAGCCAGAAAAAATAATTCAAACCATTTTAACTCTGCCCTGGGAGTTTAAGAAGAATTATGACGTCACATGATGAAAGCCGAGTTCCCTCGCAAGTTACGGGGGCCAATGCCTCTTCTGACAACCAGAGCAATCATTCTTTAGGTACATGGAACGTTCGTACATTGTGGGAGACTGGAAGACTATTTCAAGTTGCGGCAGAAATGAAAAGATACAACTTTGAGGTGCTCGGCATCAGTGAAACGCATTGGACACAGGTAGGACAACTGAGACTAGCTTCAGACCGGTGTCACGCAAGGTTGCTTACTCTCACCTTTTCTCTTTCTCCTGGTCATCGACTGGATTATGAAGACGTCGACATCTGAAAGGAAGTACGGTATTCAGTGGACAGCTGGGACGCAGATGGACGACCTGGACTTCGTAGATGACCTGACTCTTTTATCTCACTCGCAACAACAAATGCAAGAGAAGACGACCAGTGTAGCAGCAGCCTCTGCAGCAGTAGGTCTCAACATACATAAAGGAAAAACCAAAATTCTCCGACGAAACATAACGCGCACCAACTAAATCACTGTTGATGGAGATGCCTTGGAGGACGTTAACAACTTTACATATCTGGGCAGCATCATCGACAATCAAGGTGCATCCGAAGCGGATGTGAGGGCGCGGATTGGCAAAGCAAAGGCTGCATTTCTACAGTTGAAAAATATCTGGAACTCCAAACAACCAACCAACCAAAACCAAAATCACGATTTTCAATACAAATGTCAAGACAGTTCTACTGTATGGAGCGGAAACTTGGAGAACTACCAAAGCCATCATTCAGAAGATACAAGTGTTTATTAACAGTTGTCTACGCAAAATACTTCGTATTCGTTGGCCAGACACCATCAGCAACAACGTACTGTGGGAGAGAACAAACCAGATTCCAGTGGAGGAGGAAATCAGGAAGAAGCGGTGGAAGTGGATAGGACACACACTACGAAAAGCATCTAACTGCGTCACTAGACAAGCCCTCACTGAACCCTGAAGGCAAAAGGAAAAGAGGAAGACCAAAGAATACATTACGCCGAGAAATAGAGAAAGATATGAGAGGAATGAACAAACATTGGAGAGAGCTGGAGAGGGAAGCCCAGGACAGAGTTGGTTGGAGAAAATTGGTGTGCGGCCTATGCTCCATTGGTGTTAACAGGCGTAAGTAAGTAAGTTCCATAAATAACCCTTTAATTTATAACCTGCATCACAACGGTTCACTTATGGTACATAGTGTTAACGAAATTAGATCTCGCAATAATTCTTATAAGTAGTGATTCTCCGTAAAATTTGTTAAGGTTTAGAAAGTTTACAATTTCTTTTTCAAAAATGTTGGAATTAAAAGACTGTGTAATCTTCCTTTTCATCCTGAAAATTTCATGCTTTCAGTTTTATATCACTTTTGATTCTTGAATGAAACAAATATGCACGTCAAGCAATCCCTAAACCGTAAATATAATCTGGAATTTCCAAACAAAACAACCCGAATAAAACAATTTTCCAGTATGTTGATGCCGTTTATTGTACATGTCATTTGATAGAAGTCAATCAAACTTATTCCTTATTAAAACCATTCTTTTAACAATAATATTCTCTTCGTTTCAGGGATGCATACAAATAGTCAGTCAAAAAGGCCGGAATTACTTGGAGTCTATCATAATTAGCGTTTTTCTGCTTGCCTTGATACAAATTATTTCCATGATATTCACAGTATTTGTTCTAGTCGCTATAAACCGAGGTGAATATGAATAGAATTACATAACAAATAATATATATGTTGGTGTACATAAATACGAACAGAAATTACACTACCCACTGAAAACGTTCAACAAAGAACATCGGAAATCTACTTTTATACAGAGAAATATTAATTCATTATTTCTACACATATTTTGCCCTGTTCATAATTTAATTTTTCACTCAGCTTCTTTAATTAAACCGTGTATTCAGGGATCAATATAAACTTGGTTAATTCAGAGTTTTACTTTCGCAGAATCATTTGTTTCTTGTCTACAATTTTCTAAATGTGTACAGATCGATAACATCGTATCTCACTCTGCATGATTAACCAAAATAATTAGAAGTTAGTGCACAATTTCACATCTTGTCAATACCCGAAGTCAGTTACACTTGAAGATAACCTTTTAAAGTTGTTGATTGTGCCAAATTCAACACGAAATTTACTTTAAGTATTCGATTTTCAAAATGCAACAAAGTTCATCAGCAATTAGTAGATTAAGCTGAGCCTTTGTAATGATGAAAAATAACTCTGTGAGTGTTTTATATTGTGCGATGCGAATGTAGCATTTACGGTTCACTTTTCACTGACTGTATTGTGTGACTAAGTTTGGTTTGATCCAATTTATTGACTGACACATTTGAATAAGGCAATAATATCTACCAACAAACAAGTTCATTTATTTTCTGGGTCACAATCTCAACATGATAGTACTGATCAGTTTAAACGCAACCTGTCTACATACGTTGTATCAAAGTGATACTCACTAAAAGACATGAAAAGATTAACGTCGACAATAAATAAGGTCGGAATAATAGAAAACTGTTTTGTTCATATGAATAATCCCTATTCATCAGCTTCTACAAGTATTTAGCTGTGAGTAAAATGGTGAATTCCTCAAATGAATATTAGAACGAATTCTCCAAGTTATTATCAAGAGGGAAAACCACTGGGTCAGTAAAAATTGAAAACTGTCCAGCGAACTAAACACTTTCCAATTAAGTCAGTTACCAAAAGCATACAGTCGAAATCACTCCGCTTCATATCAGGTAGCCCATAATAAATGAGAGGAGTCTTAAATTATTCAATGAAGGTTTCAAAAATGATGAGAGGTTCTTAAGTGTCAAATACAAGTCAGATAACAGTTTTAACGATTATGAGATAATAATTTTGTTCAGAAATGTAAAAGATAATGTTCTACCATGATAGTATAAAAAGTGTTAATTGTTCACACAAACATATCCACCTACTTTGATTTACACCAACTTTGATTGTATGAAGGTCCAAGAACATATGTATTTACTTGATATCTGAGGGTTTTATAACAAGGAATAGATTTGCAGACCAGGAATTCATATCATGCACGCGAGAAAGTTAAGTGGTGCTGAGTCTCACCATTCCGTAGACATAAAGTAAATTA